CGGTGGTTCTTTTCTGCACGGATGCCGTATATACCTGGAAATTCACAGTATCACGTTAGCTCCTAATCATTTCCCCATGCCAAGCCGACACGGGGAATTCACAGCTGGTTATGCTAAAAATGTTTTTTTGTGTGTGTTTTTCATTTCCTTTCTTAGGACTGCTCAGGATTACCCAAAAAGCGAAACGAATACAAACCACCTAAGCCTGTGCTATTCAGTAAAGAATTTTTTTAAACCATCACTTAAGGAACTTTTATGTTACATAATTTTGTTTATGGACTACCAAAAAGTAACTGCTTCCATCACTAATAAAATTTTACTGCTTTCAATGTGGAGCCAGACTTTTTGATGGGCGGATCAATACTGAGACACTTTTTAATGTATTTTTCGAAGCCAATCAAAATGGGTGTGCAGCCAGTTCTTAAAAATCTTTGAACATAATTCATAATTCAATTAATGTTAAGTTTTTACAAATGAGGAGGGATTCATTTGAAGGAAAAAAAGTGCAAATTTTCCTGGGCAATTATGACCCAAGAGGCATTCATTTGCCAAATTATGGGTTTTAAAATATTGTATAATTCAATATAATTATCAAACCAATTAAAAAGCATTTCCACTGGTCTTAATAAAATGTCACATGATATGACTCAGCATAACAAGCAGTATGTACACTCATTTATTTGTCCAAAACCTGGATAAAAAGCAAACTTCCACCCATGTTCAGATGATCACAGATCCTGAATGAATGAGGTTCCCCTATAAAACTCTACTTTGCATATATATAGATGCCTTTGATATGTGTCAGAGTCCAGCAGAGTTTAATCATTGAGCCTTTACCTTAATTGTGCTCAAACGAAAATTGTCTTACTTTGCACCTGGCAAAATAGTTAAAGTAACAGCACCCCAAATCGTTCACAGTAATAGAATTTTTTCCCTTGATGAACGGATCCTTTTAATGTGGAGCAAAATAAGCTATGGATATAAACAGAACCTAATGCAAGTGACGGGAAGAATACTGGCTTTCATCCATTCCAGGTAACACTTGAACATAATCACATGTGAGGCAAACCAGAAATTTCTGAGAATGTCCATAAAACTCTGCAAAATATGCTTCTGAGCGAGGGGTGAGGGTGAAAGTTCAAGTGTATTGAATATGCTGACCTAATGGAAATCTAGCAGGTATTCTGTGGTTTCCCCATAAATCCATCATAAGATGGAAAATCAAGAGAACTATATTTAAGATTATTGAAGGAGCACAAATGACATTTGAAGTGATAATTCCAGAAAATAGCTGTAATTAAAAGATGGTCTGGAAATTTGCATTTCATGAAATAAAATAAGAAGCATCTACTCTATTAAGTAAAATCATATAATGCATAAATAATACTTGAAAGCCAAGTTTTTAGCTCATTTATATTGTATTATTTGATCAGGATTCACTATTTAATGTGAATAAATAGTGAATTTAAATGTAAAATGTAAAAAATGTAAATGTAATAAACTGTCCCTGATCAACATAATGTGATCGATTTTATACACTCATAAATATGGATGTTAAGTGGCTTATTAGTTTGGGTTAATGTGTTATTATTTTGTGTTAACATCTGAGTTTGGATGATATATTGGAAAATTAGAACCCCAAACTCAAAATAAAATGGAAAGGAAAGGAAGTTATGACTGGCTTTTAAGCATATTATTCTTGTGCATGTATTAACTAGGCTGAAATTATAGCGTTTGCATCCGTGAATTCTAGAAACATCACTTATGATATAATCAGTAGAGGCAGGACGGGGCGTTGGTGGTTTGTACAATAAAGGCCTTGTCACCTGTAGGCTAGAGGACTCCCTTCTCTATGCTGCTGGTCGGGCCGGTGCACCAGGCCCGTCTGCCTGAGGATGCTCAGCCCCGAGCCCCGGGGGGTGAAGCTGGGCCTCCTGCTTGGCTGGAGGCCCCACCACTTCAGGTGGCAAAACCATCCGGCCAGGCTGCAGGACCCCAGACACGAGCTCACGGACCTTCTAGGACAACATCCGTCTGTATGAGAGCTACACCGCAACAATGGGATTCCAAGGAAACGATTCCCTGTCCTCAGCCAGGCCACGGTGCGGTCGAAACCCACCTTCTAGTACCAAAGAACGAGAGAAAACTTCCAGTATCCAACTGGGGATGAAAGAGAAATGTCCCTCATGTGTGAACAAGCAGCTCCCAGCGGGCTGAGGGGAAGGGTCCTAACAAAGTGAAGGAGTTGCTCCAGAGAAACCGGTCCCACGGAGCATCTAAATCGCCTGGATCCGCGCTACTTCCTTCTAATTTAAAAAATACATGTGCAGTGCCAGAGGGGTAAGAATCCCTTCACTGCTGCTCCGGAGAAGCGGATGGTTCACGGCATACGTCTCTGATGCACTTACTATTGTAAGGCTGTCCTTCTGTGACACAGAAGGACAAATATGGCCTCTGGTCAGAATTCAAAGAAAAAGCGGTAAGTCGGCGCTTCCCAACAATGATCGACACGCCATACCCTTTGCTCAGCACTCATACTCCAGGGAATTTATCTTCCGGAAATCTGATTGATAATAGCAAACATCTTCTATCACGTGTGTCCCCACCCACAGGGCACAGTGTCCAGTGGGACCCTGATACCTTCTCCATGAGCTCCCTTTCATCCTTTTGTGGTCAGCAGGATGTAGCGGTGCTGTCCTTTACAACCTTCCCTGTGGTGGAGACGGTCTCCGTCTACACTGCCTAGGACTGAGCCACCGGGAGCACATAGCTTTGAGAGTTTGAAATGGGGCTCGTGCACCAAGGAAGAGAAGTTTTCCTTTTATTTAATCCTAATTAACTTAAATCTGAGCAGCCACCTGTGGCTAGTAGCCGCTATACTGGACAGGATGGTGCTAGAAAATAATAACGATTGCGAACGGCCTGATAGAAAGATGTTGTTATGACTCCCTTTTCTCCCAGGAGCACAGGGACTTTCACACGAGTAAGTGACTCGCCCATGGTTGGAAACCCAGAGACAGCAGAGAAGGACTGTCGCTCAGCCCAGCCACCACCCCTGCAGTGACATCCGACCGCAGTCCCCTTCATCCCGGAAAAGATGCCACCCAGGCAAGCAGCAGCCCCTGAAAACTCCAAACAAACGCTCAGCAAATAGCTGTGAAAGGAAGCTGTCCACAGGTGGCAGGATTTCTTTCAACACATGAGGAAATAGTGTTCTCCAGCTACGACTATGTCAGTGGAAACTTGCAAACTGCGCGTCGACAGTAAGGGTACCTGACAGCCCTCACTGGTCTCCCGAGCTCTTGCTGTAATCAAATATCGGCCACAGGAATTCACGGGGAGGCACGGATGGCAAAACGGCTTGATCAGGTGGCCGCGTCCTGTTATGCTGTCTCAGCCTCATTCCACCCCGTTACACGCTCTTCCCAAAGTCCGCAGGAGTCCGTGAAACCGCACAAAAGATACAGCACTTGGGCTTCCCTGGTGGCGCAGTGGTTGAGAGTCCGCCTGCCGATGCAGGGGACATGGGTTCGTGCTCCGGTCCGGGAAGATCCCACATGCCGCGGAGCGGCTGGGCCCGTGAGCCGTGGCCGCTGAGCCTGCGCGTCCGGAGCCTGTGCTCCGCAACGGGAGAGGCCACAGCAGTGAGAGGCCCGCGTACCACAAAAAAAAAAAAAAAAAAAAAAAAAAAAAAAGATACAGCACTTAGGATTTCGCAAAGTGACTTGGAAACAAAGCATCTTGATGGCACGACATAAAATGGGTGGGAGGAGCTATGCTTGAGGAAAACAGCACGCAGCGTCGTTAATCTGTCTTGAATTCTGCGTAAAATATTTCACATTATTATAGTACCTCGAGCCCGCTTCAAAACCCGCAAGCCTCGCTTCGGATACTCCGGCGCCCTGCACCCCTCACCACCCTGTGTCACCTCCACAAACGCTCCTTTAGTCATGGGGACCGACTGTGCACCCGAGTTAAGGTGCAGGGTGTAAATTCATCGAAGTTAGGGTGCAGAACATTAGCAGTGGTTTACGGACAAAGTTACTATCCTCTGGTTCCACTGTAGCTTTCTTATGGCCAAGGGGATCAAAGACCTCCCTTAGTATTACCCTATTCAGGTAAAACCAAGGAAATGTTGGGGCAAGAGGCTGAAACACAGGAAGAGAAGTGGGTTAAGACCACAAACTTGTGGATCGGAGCCTGGCTACAGAAAAATACACAAGAGCCAACTGTGATGCCCTCGTTACAGGAAGTCCATTCTCAGACTGCAGCTGGCGGGTCTGCTGGAGACAGTGGGACATGGCTCTAGAATCCGGCTACTCAAAGCCCAGACCTACCAGGAAACTTGCAACGTCTCGGGTGTGGTCCTCTGGCCACAAACTCGCATCCTTCATCTGGTCCCACATCAGCAATGTGCACGCAAGCGGGTGGTAGGTCCCAGGTGGCCCTGGGGTCTCCGGCCCTTGAGTCTCTCGGTGACCCACAGAGAGTCCCCAGGCCTCCAGCCCTGAGAAACCGCAGCTTCGATTTCCTGTCGTTGGAACACTTGCCAGGAGCCCTGAGCTCCCGTCAAGGGTCCAATTCCCGCGAGGCCACCGCCTGCAGGCACACGGTCACCAGTCCAGCTGAGCCGGCCTCCCAGCTGTCCCCGCCAAGGAGCCAGGCAGGGGAGTGAGGCCACCCCATGACACAGGTGAATACCTGCAAGTGACCCCACGAGGCCTGTGGAACGAAGGGGTCACCCAGCCGGGCCCATCCTGACCCACCCGTCACGTGGGAAGGTAAAGCAGTCCTCGTTTCACCCTTGGAAATGTTGGGCCCGGGGGCGTGTTACACGCCCACTGGGAACTGGGACAGCATCTTTGCGCTGTTTTCAGTTCATCTATTTTCCCTGTAAAGCCACCTTCTAGGCGCTCTTGTCATCTAACATGAATGTATACTTGTTAAACCCTAAGCCTCACCCCGCTGCCCAGCCATCCCACCTTCTGGCATCCACCTACCAAGGAAGCCCGAGGACGGCGGGTTCGGCTGGATCTTCTCCTTCGTGTTCTCCTGGATGATGTCCCAAAGCTGCCAGATAAACTTGGGGTGGAGAATGTAAAACGGTTGGTTTGGGTTTCTCTGACGGTGCTGAACATACGGAGTGAACAGGTTGTAATCCGGCTTCTTGTACCACTAAGACGAAAAAATAACACAGTCAGAGGACCACGCCATGGGAAGCCGGGCAGCGCCCGCGTTGCGGGGTATTTAGAGGCTGAGGGGCCGGGCTGGGAGGGGTTGCGGAACCCCTCTTCTGCAGGCATTTCCACACTGGATGAGGGGGTGAGTACCGAGCTGAGGTCTAGCCTGGGGGACTAGTGCCTTATTCTTTAGTAAAATGAGGGAGAAGGGCTAGGGCGGGGTCACTGGACTTTTCTGGAAAGGGCCAGATAGTAAACACATCAGGGTTTTAGGGCCATAGAGTCTCTGCTGCTACTACTGGGCTCTGCTGTGTATTTACTTGGAAAGCAGCCACCGAGGGTACAAGATGAATGGGCGAGGCTGTGTTCCAATAAAACTTTATTTACAAAAACAGGGGCACACCCCCCCCAAAAAAGAAGAAAACAAAAAGAAAAAAAGGAAGAAAAAAAAGAAACAAAAACAAAAAAACATGGCCGGATGGCCCATGGCCGTAGTTTCAATCCCTGTATTTCAGAAATACGTTTTCCCAATCTAATCCCTAGCGCAGAAAGATGTCAGTAATTGCCTGGGTCTCGGGTCGGGTCTGGGAGACAGATGGGCGGGCACAGGGGGCTCTGCAGCAGCGGAAAGCTTCTGTTCCTTAATTGTGGTGCTGGACACAGGACTGTATACACTTGCCACTACCCATCAAAATGTGCACTTAGGTCGGCTACACAAAAATTACTGTAAGGAAAAAATAAACAATAAGGTTGATTTAAAAAACAAGGCTTCAGAAGTGTCTCAGGTGCCACCGAGAAATGGGATTTGGAGGTGTGGGGGGAGAGGCTCAGCTCATAGGGCTCTGACAGTCCTTTCAAACAGACACCTCGGGCAAAGATGGGCTTGGATGAAGATCCCAAGGCATAGTCCCTGGTTGAATGGGGTCTGTGGCTTTAAAAATTTTGACAAGGACGGGCCAGATCATCTTTAGTGAACTGTGCCCCCAAACCCTGGGGCAGGGAGAGGGAAAGCAGGGGCCAACAGCCACAGCCTCTCATGGGTCCACCAACAGCAAGAAAGCTGTCAGAACTTAAAACCACAGAACCTCAGGCTGGAAGGAAGCTGACAAGTGCAAACACCCACTTGATGCCGGTTCTCAGTAGACGGTGTGTAGGAGAATCAACCAGAGAGCATTCTTGGAAACACACGTGGGGGCCTTCCCTGGTGGTGCAGTGGTGAAGACTCCGTGCTCCCAATGCAGAGGCCCCGGGTTTGATCCCTGGTCGGGGAACTAGAGCCCACATGCATGCCGCAACTAAGAGTTCGCATCCCACAACTAAGGAGCCCACCTGCCACAACAAAGACCCAGTGCAACCAAATGAATAAATATTTAAAAAAAAACAAAAAATCCCACACGTGGAGGCTGGATATGCCCGGATTCCTGGGAAATGGTCTCTGACGGATACTCTGAACAGTGATGCTCCAGATGATGCTGACGTGAACCCCTGGTTGAGCATAGTTATAATCACGCCAGGTATGTGTCCAGCCTCTGTCTTAGGATGCGTGGTGACAGAATGCTCCTTCCAGAGGGACCATCGACTGTGGGAAGCTCTCCTGGATAGTTACCCCCTGGTGGGGTGAGCTCTGTTCCCACATTCGTCTTAGGAAGCTGGCATCCTCTCAGGTCACGGCAGAACGAGTCCACAGACACTGGCACAGCTGACAGCCTCGCTCACGGGGCTAAACTGTAACCGATCTTCCCAGCCCCCTTTCAGAACAAGTGCGCTGGCTCTCCATGCCAGGTTTCACCAAAAGTAGAGAGGCTGTGAATGTATCGATAACTTGCTTATATTTTGATGGCTAGTAATAACCTCGTTTACACCGTATCGTATAAGATTAAAAAGATTTGGAGGCAGAAGCCGAGAGTGGCACACTCAGGAAAAGCCTGTGACACGTTCCATTTCAATAATAAGGATTCACAAAGGTTAGCCTTTCTTGCCAAGAACTTCCCATGTATTTCAAAAGGTCTTGTAACTACTTGAAAGGTGATGTAACCATCTCACAATGGAAAAATTCGGAGTTTAAGCAGCCCAAGCTCTGGTGTCGCTAGGACTTTCTGCACATCTAGACATTGTACATTTGTTTTTGTTTTTTAAATCCTCCAGAAAAACACTTTAGCATCAGAGGGACTTCGCTCAGCAAGGGCGCTACTGCAACCGGGACTCAAACCGTGTGAACATATGTGAATTTAATTCGCACCCACAATTGGTTTCATTCTGCCCGTCAAAGTTTAATCCCTGACTTACTCCCATTATGTATCGGTCAAAGGCGCTGTCTGACCCTCAAGGGTGGGGGCACCAAGGAAATACTCACCAGGTGAAGATTTGCAGAATACGGAGCTGGGTCCCAGGCCACCAAGATGACATCTTTATACAACGAACTGTCAGTGAAGTGATGCCTGGGGTTGGTCAGAATCTGCAAATACGTAGCAGAATCATTTCAAAACAAGGCTTTGGGCCTTCACAATTACATTTTAAAAAGAGGCAAAAATTTTAAAAAGGAGTTTTGGAGCAAGAAAAAACAAATGTTCCTCAGACTTTCTGGGGGAGGGAGAGAGGCAGGCTTTACACGCTAAGGCACTCAGGAAATATTTAGACAAAGGAGGGCTTTCTTTTTTAAGAAAAGAACCAGGGATTTCCCTGGCGGTCCAGTGGTTACGATTCTGGGCCTTCACTGCCGAGGGCCTGGGTTCAATCCCTGGTCGGGGAACTAAGATCTCGCAAGCCATGCGGCGCCACCAAAAAAAAAAGCAGCCCTGGAGTCATCTAGAGGCACCAGCTCCTGATGCAACTCCTGGCTGAGTAAGCCCCCGGCAACGACAGCTGCAGGCCTAGAAGGCCTACCGAGTGCCAAACTCAGGACAAACTGGGCCCAGAGGCCAGGAGACGTGAATCCACCCGGTATGACTGTCCCCGCTCTGGGGCCCTCTCTGGTCCTGAGTGAGTCCTTCAGTCTCACCTGCCAATCAGCTTTTGTCAACTATAGTCTGGGGGAAAAAGGATGCATTTGACTTGCTTCATTTTTAACATGGAATTTTCCCACAGGTTTTAAGATGCCCTCTTCTGCTTCACATTTTAATCTCTCTGAAGTTAGGGAGTATCTCACAAGGGAGCTGTATTTTAATTTGCTGGGGCTTATCTCCTCCTCTCTTAAAAGCTGTCATCAGACACATGAGGAATCTTCAATCAGTGGCGTCTCTGAATTCAGGAAACCGGGGCCTGTTTCTCACCTCTGTAGGCTGTGAGCCCAGAGCCCGACGAAGAAAGCTGATCTTTGGTTCTGCAACAAACTCACCATAAATCGCTCATCAGCCCATTTTTTTTACACCGTTTGAAACTCTAGAAATTGTTGTGGTTTGTTCTGAGGCTAATTTTGCTATGAATTTTGGAAAACATTGAGAACATACAAAAAAGAGATATTTTCCTTTTTAAAATGTTCAATAACAAAGTAAAGTTTCTGAGCTGTTCTTCTGACCCTTGAATTCTGTTCCTTTGCTTTTCTCCCCTCCATCCCCATGATTTACTCCGTTTACCTTTCTTTTCCTCAGTTCACAAAATGCAATATGCTACATATATATATTTGTACCTCTACTCTGATTTTTCCTTTTGATCTTATTTATATTTACTCTTTTTTCCTACTCACAGCACACACGAATTCCCATTTCTCTGCACTTTTCCTCACTAATTCTTTATAATTACAAGACTTTTAGAAATAAACAAGGTCGTGGTCATGGATAACTGGGTGATTTCTCTTCATTCACCCAGTTAAGCTATTTACCTATAAAACAGTCCACCCATCTTACCTGGGAGTTAATGATGCGGACGGTGGTTTTATTTCCAACATCCTTCTCGTAGCCACGTGTAGGAGCAGAGTTAAATCTCAAAACTGCATCGTGGGAATCTGAGGGCACATAAATGACAAACTTACTTCTTTTTTTCCCTCTGCATAAAAATCAGCATAATTTAGGAAAATATCTTAAAGCAAACCTTTCAATACCTGAAGCTAACTAGACCCCAATAAAATTCAGATACCCACACACGCACTGTTTGGCATCCTATTTACTTAGGATGAGATCCTGGCTGGGGGCAAATAAACATAAAAACACATCAATCCATTACAAGTGGCCCTCTATCCTCTAAGTTATAGTTAGATACTTGGTATGTGTTCACGGTCTTTAAAGACATGCTTTACACAGGAAATTTCGAGACATATGTGTGTATCTAGACTGCTTTGTGGAGTCTAATGTGTTTCCCAGAAAAAGGGCTGAAAGCAGAGTTAATCAGCGATGGGGAATTTCTATGCGATTTCTTCAGCTTCAAAAACCCCATGCACGTTCCTAATTTAACTTGGAGCAAACAACAAAGCCCATCTGTGAGAGAGTGAGAAGTGAGATCACGTATCTCTGATTCGTCAAACACCCAAAGCAGCGGTTCTCACTTTTTGGTCTCCGGACGCCTTTACACTCTTGAAAATTACTGACAACCCAGAGACCTTTTGTTTATCTGGATTACAGATTTCAGAATATATCACATTAGTGAGTAAAATAGAAAACTTGTAAATGTTTATTTATTAATTTATCTGTAAAATACATTTTTATGAGAAATAACATTTCGAAAAATAGTGAGAAGGGCGCTGTTTTAAATGTGTGCAAATCTCTTTAACGCCTGGCTTTTTAGAAGACAGTTGGTTTCATATACCTGTCTCTCTATTCAATCTGCTGCAGTATATTGCTTTAGTTGAAGTATATGAAGACTCAAGATATATCGTTGATATGGGGAGGGGGAAGGGTGAGCTTTGACAGGGCGAGAGAGAGTCATGGACATACACACACTAACAAACGTAGTAAGGTAGATAGCTAGTGGGAAGCAGCCGCATGGCACAGGGATATTAGCTCGGTGCTTTGTGCCAGCCTGGAGGGGTGGGATAGGGAGAGTGGGAGGGAGGGAGACGCAAGAGGGAAGACATATGGGAACATATGTATATGTATAACAGATTCACTTTGTTATAAAGCAGAAACTAACACACCATTGTAAAGCAATTATACCCCAATAAAGATGTTAAAAAAAAAAAAAGATATATCGTTGAAAATGGTGGGAGTATTTCAAGAGTCTTTCCAGATGACTAGGAATATTCTCCTCTGACACTTCATCGTAACTCCACAAGAGCTAGTTTCTGAAAGGTTAGTGGCAGTGTGGAATGTGAAACAGTATCAATTTTTGTGCTGTTACATTAAAATCCATTAGTTAATCTTGCTCTTAAAATGGATGATTCATCAAAAAAACAAACAAACAAAAAAACAAACGACCCAGTCAAAAAATGGGCAGAAGATCTAAACAGACGTTTCTCTAAAGAAGACATACAGATGGCCAACAGGCACATGAAAAGATGCTCAACAGTTGCTAATGGAGAAATGCAAATCAAAACTACAATGAGGTACCACTCATACTGGCCAGAATGGCCATTATGCAAACGTCTACAAATAGGAACTTCCCTGGTGGTCCAGTGGTTAAGACTCTGTGCTTCCACTGCAGGGGGTGTGGGTTCGATGCCTGGTCAGGGAGCTAAGATCCCGCGTGCTGCACGGTGCGGCACGGCCAAAAGTTAAAAAAAGAAAAGTTTACAAGTAATAAATGCTGAGAGGGTGTGGAGAAAAGGGAGCCCTCCTACACTGTTTGGTGGGAATGTTAAGTCGGCGCAGCCACTGTGGAGGACAGTATGCAGGTTCCTTAAGAAACTAAAACTAGAGTTGCCGTATAATCCAGCAATCCCACTCCTGGCCATTTATTTGGAAAAGACAGAACTCTAATTCAAAAAGACACACGCACCCCAATGTTCACAGCAGCGCTATTCACAACAGCCAAGACATGGAAGTAACCTAACTGTCCATCGACAGATGAATGGATAAAGAAGATGTGGCGCACATATACAATGGAATACCACTCAGCCATAAAAAGAGTGAAACGATGCCATTTGCAGCAACATGGATGGACCTAGAGATTGTCACACTAAGTAAGTCAGAGAAAGACAAATATGTGATATCGCTTATATGTGGAATCTTTAAAAATGATACAAATTAACTTACAAAACAGGAATAGACCCACAGACAGAAAACAAATTTATGGTTACCAAAGGGGGAACGGGTGGGGGAGGGATAAATTAGGAGCTTGGGATGAACATATACACACTACTATATATAAAATAGGTAACCAACAAGGACCTACTGCATAGCACAGGGAACTATATTCAATATCTTGTAATAACCTATAATGGAAAAGCATCTGGAAAATAATATATATATATGTATGTATAACTGATTCACTTTGCTGTACACCTGAAACTAACACAACACTGTAAATCAACTCTTGCGTTGGCCAAAAAATTCCGTGAGATGGTATGGAAAAACCCGAACGAACTTTTTGGCCAACCCAATATATTTCAATTAAAAACATAAAGGATGATTCATCCATGTGTATTTTGTAACACGGTGCAGCGGTCACTTGGAAGCTATCTGTTCAATAAGTAATGCAGATCTTTCAAATACTGAAGCATTTCATTATAAAGTATCAAATATCATTAATGTCACCACGGATCTCATCACTTTTTAAGTTTGGGAAGCCTCCAAGCTCAGGGTTGAAAGCTTTAATTTTATCACTGGCAACAAACACTGTCAGTTATTTTCCTAAAAGTCAAGGCTTACTTACTTTTTGAGAAAATACCTGCCAAATGTCCAAGTCTAAATTAAGTACGTCCATCAGTCATCTGTTGCAAGTCTAGTTGTGTTTTGTGACAAAAGTGGCTAGTACCGCTCACAGCTCAATCACATCGGTGCCCTTCCGTCGGGGGTTGGTTGGCAGAAATGCTTTCATGTTATTTCCCATTTGGTCTTAAAAACACATGTACTTCAAAGACTGAACTCTAATCAAACTAACCATTTTTACTGCTTCATTAAGGACATCCATACGTGGAGCTGGCATGCTTTGCTTTCACTGCTAAGCTTGGCAGGAAAACATCCCGTGAGGACTAGTATAGTGGGTACCACTGCCTCGATCTGTGCTAAGGAGCAGTTTTATCCACTACTGCTCCTGCATCATCCGTTCCGATGTCAACAGTTAAAAAGACCTCCGAGTACTATGATGAAAATTGTTGTCACCTTCTGAGCCCCTGAAAGGATCATGGGGGCTCCAAGTGCAAGGCCAGACACTATGTGACCTGCTCACCTGGGGCAACTCTCCCATAGGCAGGGAGTGAGGGGGGGCCCAGACAGTGGGGTGGCCTCCAGGCACTCAGAGGTAACCAGGATGGCACCAGGGCAGGAAGCAGGATGCTGGCACTCCTGGACCAGGGCTCCCACTGATCCACGCCACCCTTAGTACAGCCTTCGTCTAGAGGTAAGGTGAACAAACTGAGGTTGCCAAGTAGTGGGTGCATTTCTAATTGATTACGCAGAAATTCCTAACGAATCGTATCACCCCGGACAATGTCCCAGCCTTTAAAAGCTGGTGTTCTACACTGAGGTGTGTTTTAAGCCTTAGAACAACTTGACAAAGGACAGGGCGCAGAAAGGTAATCTAGGTTCACTCCTTTGGAAGTCATATGAGGCTGAAGAGTTAAAAGGTCAGTTTCACGGAGGACACAGAGAGGCAGGTAGGGACGGGGCTGCCGTGGATGAGACTGAACTTCCCCCAGCTGGCCGGGAGAAGGATGGACCAGGATGGGAGGGGGCGTGTGGGGACGATGAGCTGAGAGAGCCCGTCACGTGGACACATTCGTAAATGCGCACCTGGGTGTGCTTCTCCCAGATAACCACCTGCAAAACTAAGCTGTCCGTTCACATTTAGAGAGGGAGGAATGATCACACAGCCAGCACAGGGGAAGAAAGCAAAGCGTCATTTTTGGAGACGGCATCTCCACGCTAGAGCCATTTCACGTTGACCTTGAGAGCAGAGCCAGGCTAAGAGCATCATTGAGGAAAGATGAAAACCCTGCAAGGAGCAGCCAGCCAGAAGGCATAGCATCACGAAATCCCTGCCCAGCCCTGGGCACTGCATCCCCACCGCTCCCTTCCCTTCCCGAGCTCAGGAATCTGCAAGGGCAGCCAGCGCCTTGTCTTTGGGGAACGGGGAATGGCCTGCCCAAGAGATGATTCTCCTCTCCCCCAAACCCACCGCCCTCGTCTGTCTCACCTCACTGGGGCTCCTGCAACGTGCTTACTCCAATCTAGGCTCTGGAGCAATCCTTCCAAAATGAAACACCGACCCATCACTCCTCTGCTTCAAAGATTTCAGTACCTCTGCACCGCGAGGCCAAGGGGCCAGAGCTGGAGTTTCGGGGACCCAGACTGGAGTTCAAATCCGGCTCTACCCTCTGTGTCTCTGGGTACCTTGGTTTCCTTACCCATAGAACAGGAATAATCGTGTCTGTCACTTGGCATCACAAGGCTTGTTCACAGATAAAAGCACTGAGGTGAGAACTTCCCTGCAGTAAACACCCTCTAAGTGCTGTCTATTATTACAATCATTGTGAGAAGTCTAATTTCTGGGGAATGACATCCAAGAGCATGAAGTGGCTGACCTCCTGCCCACCCGTCCAACTTACCTGTCTGCTCTCTACCCCCAGCCCATAGTGGTCCCCAGCCCTTATCACCCCCACACCGTGCTGTTTCTCATCCAACTGCTCTGCTGGCCTTTGGCCGGGATTCCCCTCCTCAGACGTCTGCCCTCGCGGTGGGGCGGGATTCCGCGGTCATGTCTTCCCTGTCTGTCTGTGCATCTTTCTGTCCTTCTAACCGTGATATTGGAATTGTCTGTTTACAGTCTGTCTTTCCCACTAGCAAGCAGAGGATCTGCGGGTTAGGGATGGGCCTCATCCATCTTTCTGTCACTAGTGGCGAGCACAGTATCTGGTGGAGAGTTGGGGACCCGTGCTTGTTGAATGACTATATGACCTGCTTTCTTGCTTTTTTAAGGTAACAGGACGCCAAATCCCAAGCTCGCTACGGGAAGACGCCCCCTCCCTACACAGCCTCCTCCCTACCCTCCCATTTCCCACACACTTCCCAGAATCCTAGTTTCAAGTAACAGATCCTGACCTCCCATTCAAGGTGACAGCTGTAAGTTCAGAGTACTTTTCTCATCTGCAGTGTGTTTCCACGGGATTGCTGCTACTGATCTCACTACCAAATTATTATTATTTACAGGAATGGCTGAAAAAAGATCACCTCACCACTCTAGAAAAGAATGTTCCATGTTTCCAAGACAGTTCAGTTTGCTTTTCAATAACATATTCAAAGTGGAGGTGTTTAAACAATTACAAGGTATGACTCAGTCTAACAGAGCTGGGAAACAGGACGGCACTGCCCAGGCAGCAGCCAGCAGAGCCACTTGCAACCCTGGCGCCTCCCTGGTCCCCTGGCAGGAGGGGGGGGGCAGGGGCTGAGCCCTCAGGCAGGGAGGGTAGGGGGGGCAGACAGGGGGCCACCCGCAGGAACTTTTCTAGCTCTGCCCTCAGTTTTTCATAAAACCACGACCTCGTGCAAGACTTCTAATCTTCACTTAGCCGATTCACACAAGTAGATGCTTAGGGATGAAGACAGATTTAGCTAAATAGCACAGCATGCCCGCTTCCAAGTTTCCTGAAGGACTCTGCTGTGTGAATTTGTTCTCACTAGGAGAGGTGTTAACAACTGTGTGTTGATAAGCCTCTGTATGTTCAGGAGAGTCGGAAGGAGAAATGTCAGCACGTGGCAGGCACAAGGGCTGATGCTGAGAGATGCCAGCTTATAAAAAAGCGAGACTTCTTGTCTTTACGAGTTGAACTGTGTTACGTTACATACTCTTAAAAAGGTAGCGATGGCTATAAAATTGGACTCAAAGGAACTGAGGCAAAACAATAGAGAATTTAAAAAATTTTCTGAGTGTGTTTGTTCGTCAGTTACCTTTCTACGATTCTAATCATGAACCTTTGTATAAGTGCAGACGCTATCAATTAAATGCGGATACTAGAAACTAACAGAGATATAACTGACGTGTCATGTTCCCCAGAAATGGGGAACTCCCAGTCTCTTTCACACTCTCTTCCAAATTCTGAATAGAGGAGTTTACGAGACTCCGGTCAGGGATATTTACACCAGAATAAAGAGCAAGGGAATTCTCCCAGGCAGGTGAGCGCAAGGCAAATGTGCAGCTATGATGCAGTGGGGCTTCAAACAAAGCAAAAAAAAAAAAAAAAAAAAATCCAAAAGCAAGTCACCACCTGCTTTAAAGCTGCTTAAATTCCTTCTGCCATGATTAACCATGGTCTTCGAAAACCAGGGAGAAGTGTGGCTTTACTTGGCCCTGGGGGGCCTCTGAACCAATGCTCCTTCCTAATTGGTAGCAGCCGCTCGACTCGGCTTGGCTGCAAGCTTATGTGACACACAGACAGCGTGATTACGAGTCTACTTAATGTCAGCTCGGGGACACTGACACCCCAGGCTGCAAGTCCAGACCTGGGCCTTGTTTTTTCAACTTTCATTCCCAAGAGCCAGTGGGAGGAGGTCTGGGCTGTGCAACCTCATGATAAGGGTGTCGCCCTACCTCAAGACGGCTCTGGAGTGTCAGCTACTCCTCGAGGACACGGAACAATGAGTGGGCCCCAGAAACAACGATTCCTTTCTGTCAAGTGGCAGTGCCCCCTGAAGGTCACGTCCAGGTCAGCGACGAGCTAACACCATGCACCTGCGAGAACGGCGCTGTTTTACGTCTGGACTCAAGGCAGATACTGTGTCTGATCCGCACTTGTTTTCTTGGTACCTAGTGTACGGTAGCCAGCACGGGGTAGAGGCTACGTGCGTGTTTGCTAAATGAGCCTGAGGGGTCACGGGGGCAGCACCAGGGTGGGCTGGGCACTCAGGGGACTCAGGGGCATTAGACTAGACCGCAGGTTCCTGGGGAAGCAGGGCTTCTGCCTCCAGATGCAGGGGCCCTCCCGAGCTGCCAGCCCCGCAGATGTGGGGCTTCAGGCAGCAACATCAACTCATCTGCGTCTCCAGCCAGCCTACCTTCCTGCCCTGCAGACTTCAGATCCGCCAGCCGCTAGGACGGCAGGGGCAAGGCCTTAAAATAAATCTTTCTCTCTACACGTATCCCACCGGTCTGTTTCCCTGGAGGGGCCAGACTAACAGGGGTGTTCTCCAGGGCTCAGGAATGGATTTGAAGACAGTACAGAAGGGAAGATGGAAGCCCAGGCTGCAGCTGGGGCCCAGAGGCTGGGTGTGTGCCAACCTTGGAGGTGACGGTGCCCACCGGATCAATGCTCTCACCAGCTGTCGGGCTCTCCGCAGAGCCCAGGGACAGGGATTTAGTCCTTGAACGAGTGACAATTATCATCCTGCAAACTCCTGTTTGGAGCTGCCCCCTAAGGCTCGTCGCCCGGTGGGGTTTCCCCTGCTGTCCTTCCTGCTCCTGCCACATTAAGGGGTCATCAGGGGTGCAGGCTCGGCTGGGAGCTGTCAGTGCACAACGTGGGCTCTGCAGGAGGTGGGTCCTGAGACCGGGCCGGTGAGAGGGCCACGGGCTTCCCTTTCCCGGGCCCCCAGCTCCCCGGAGGATGCCTGTCTCTGCTCTGAGTCTCCGCAAAGGAGACCTCTGCTGGGATTCCACCCGCCGGGGGTCATTCAGTCCCAGGGAAGGAAGAAGACCTAAGACTTTCCGGAAACACAGTGCAGGAGCGGCCACCCTGGGGGCGGGGGGCCGCGGGGACCCACCTATCTCTTCGCCCAGGGACGAGTTGAGGATGGCACCGGCCGACGTGACCACGGCGCAGGTCCGGAGCCCGTGCGGGAGCAGCCGGCCGAGCGGCACGGCGGGGACCAGCGCGCGCCAGCCGAGCGCCGAGAAGGGCGGCTCGCTGCCGTCCAGGGTGCGCACCCGCACGCGGCCCCGCAGGGCGCACAGCAGCTCCGCGCGGCTCCGCCCGGCCGCCCGGCGCCCCCGGAAGTTCACGCCGTGCTTGTTGGCGCGCAGGTAGGCGCCCATGGCCTTCTGCAGGCGCGGGTGCAGCATCCGCACCGACGCGTCGCCCTTCCAGAGCCGGCGCAGGAGCGCCCGGGACGTGGACGAGTACAGTCGCTGCCCGTCCTCGCCCACCCCGGGCGCCGCGCTCCGGCTCTGCCTCCGGGCCCCTCGCTTCGCCCACCGCCCCCGGGCGCGGCGCGCAGACAGAGCCCCCTCCGGGCCCCCCGACGTGCCCGGAGCGGCGTCCTCCGGCGGCAAAGCGCTTTGCGATGTTCTCCCCGTCTGGGGCGGAAGGAAGTCGTCTTCGTTTTCAAAGCCGTCTGGGGCCCACGCCCGCAGGTCGCCCGGCCCCGCGTGCAGGAGGCCATACGGGTGTCTGCGGGGCAGCCCCCTGCGAGCGTCCGCGCCCTCGGGCAGGCCCTCCGAGGCGCCCATGATGGCCCGCTGCCTTCCCTGCGCGGGCAGCAGCCTCCTGGTCTCCAGGAAGGAGAAGGAGCTGGGCGCGGGCTGGGCAGGGTTGTTGTCGGTGAAGTACAGGAAGATCGCCAGAAAGAGGAGACCCCAAGCGAATATCCCGCAGAGCATTCCTTGTCTCCATTGCTTCAAGTGTGGTTTCATGGCAGGTCTGCGGGGTCAGCACCTGGCGTCCCGAGGCGGCGGGAGGCGGGATGGACCTGAAAAACAGCCGGGTGTCACGGTGAGGCGCGCGGGACAGCGCTGGGGACAGTCTCTTTAGAGGGTCTCGGGACGGTTAGAAGGGGCATCAGAATCCAGGGTCATCCGGAGCTTCGGCCACATTCGGGGGTCACACGCCCCCCACCCTCATATCTGCAAGACAAGGGGTCCCACTGAGGCAGGACGTAGATGCCCCCCCCCAAGGTAAGCAAGTGGAGATTTGTCCCCTGGGGCCCGATACTCCCGGACGAGAATAGCAGGACAATCAAGACAGGAGGCTGGGCCCTGCCCAGAGAGAAGGGAAGAGACCACAGATTCCTCATTCTCGAAGTCAGGAGACCTCCCCGATTAGAAAGCTCCTTGGAGGTCAAAAAGGGAGTGATGTCAAGTCTACCCATAGGCCTCTCCACTAGAATCCATCTCGGCTAAGAGATGCACACACACACGGGGAGGACCCTGAGATAAACCAAATACGGACTCAGAACCAGGCAAAGCAAGATGACCGGCCAAAGGAAAGCCGGAAGAAATGCCCCATGTAAGTGATTCAAACCGCCACGAGGGCACGACTCTCTCTCTGAGTCCGCCCGTGTGTCTATCCACGCGTACTTTACCCTTTTCCTCCTAATAAACACTCTACTTGTTTCACTACTTTCTGTCTTTGTGGGAATTCTTTTCTGCAAAGCCGAAGCGCCAGGGCCTTGTCACTGACCACGGGGTCTTGTGGCTTGGATTCCATGCTCTCACTGCCACAGCCCGACCTCGATCTCTGGCTGGGAACCGAAACCCTGCTTCAAGCCGCTGCCGGCCGAGGCCAGCCGAGATCACCGCCACCTCAGCTGAGGGTCTTGGGAGAGGGGAGATGCGGTGCGTGTACCTTGGTAAACCTCCAGAGGCACCTCAGTGATGTGTCTACCTCCCCACCGAGGGCTGCTTAACCCGGGCCCATCCCAGCAAGGTCCCGTCCTGCAGCTGGGTTACAGATTCCAGTTTGGTGAAGCAGGCAGGAGGGCTCAGCAGAGTCCGCCCTCTCGCACCTCTCATCAGGCCACCACAGGCTCACAGCTCAGATACCGTACAGCAGCACGGCGGGCTCTGCGTTTCACGGGAAACTTCCAGAAGGGCCCCAGTAAGCGATGACCCAGGGACTGAGGCTGTAGGGGAAGGTGATGTCGAGGTGTCTGTGAACCTCAAAGCAGCCCCCGGATAATCGCCCTCACCGTGAGCCTCTGATGGAATAAAAGGAACAGATGTCAAAATTCTAAACGAGGGAGGAGATGAGAGAGCTAGGCGAGCCTCCAGCTGGGAAAGGGTGAGGAAGGAGGCTGAGATGAAAGGACAAGATACAGAGTCAGAGAGAAGGACCCTCTTCTCCACTCAGTGGCGCAGCCCTCGATGATCGCCTTTTTGTTACTCAGGTAGCAAGCACAGTGCTTGGCGCTAAAGGAAACGACAAAATATCAATAAGAAACGCACCTAATGCGGCTGAGAGCAGATCACGGAGTCGTCATAGTTGCACTTGCTCTTTCCCCCGTCCCTATATGAGCCAGTCTTCACAGGGGGCCTCTCCTATCAGTATGGAGGGTCCTCAAGAAACTAAAAATAGAGTTGCCATATGATTCCGCAATTCCACTCCTGGGCGTGTATCAGGAAAAACTCTAATTTGAAAAGATCCATGCACCCTTATGTTCACAGCAGCACTATTCCCAACAGCCAAGACACGGAAACAACCTCAGTGTCCATCAACAGATGACTGGTTAAAGAAGATGTGGTACATATATATAGTGGAATATCACTCAGCCATCAAAAAGAACGAAATAATGCCATTTGCAGCAACATGGATGGACCTAGAGATTGTCATACTAAGTGAAGAAGTCAGAAAGAGAAAGACAAATACCATATGATATCACTTATATGTGGGATCTAAAATATGACACAAATGAACTTATCTATGAAACGGAAACAGACTTGCAGGCATAGAGAATAGATTTGCGGTTGTCAAGGCGGTACGGGGAGGGAAGGACTAGGAGTCTGGGGTGATTAGATGCAAACTATTATATATTGATCTACATATATAGTAGTGCAAGCAAAGCCTTGGAAAAGGACAAACATAAGGAATACTAAGTGAGCTGCAGGAGCTTTAAGCTGGACAGCCCAGAGCCCAGCACAGGCCGGCCCTGAATAAGTACTGGTTGAAAGAATGATGTGTGTGTGTGTGTGTGTGTGTGTGTGTGTGTGTGTGTGTATGTGCGTTGAGGGTGGGAGCTGTGTGTCTGCAGGTGTGCACAGCTGTGTGTTGGTGATGGTGTTGGAAGAAGTGGGGAGACAATTTGGGGGGAAACCAGGCTGGGAAGCTGCCCCTTCCAGCCTTGGGGGTGGGGATGGGGGCCTACTGGCAAGTCGGGGCCACGTGCTGTGTGAGGTGCTGGTGGCAGGGGCTTTCAGGGAAGTGGGGGGCAGGGAGGAAGGAGGGAGGAAGTGGGATAAGGGGGGCCTCAGCAGCAAGCAGACACTCCGGAAGCCCGTCTGATGGGAGGGGCTCGCAGAGGGGACTCCTCCCCCACCTCCAGGCCTCCAGGAAAACCAGGAGGCAGGTGAGGACAAGACCGTAATGCAAGGGCAGGGATTTTACTCACATAAGAACTGAAATCAAAGTGGGTGATCCCTAGGTCATTGTAGTCACCTGGGGACGCTATACACCGTCTCTGGTGGAGAAGAAGATGTGCGAAAGTGAGAAGCCCACGTGCCTGTTACAGACGGACACGGGTCCTTTGCCCTCTTCCCATGGAGAGGTGAGTCTGTGTCTCCCCGCCTTGAGCAGGGGAGGGGCTCTGACCAGGTACCAGGCCCAGGTCCAGCAGCTTCCACGTCCTGCCTTTAAAACGCTCACGATGGGGGAGGTAGCCACCAGCAAAGACAGACGTCTCTCTCACCCGAGTCCACCATGCAGTGAGGAAGCCCGAGCTAGCTGCGTGGGAAAGGCCACGTGGACCGAGAGATGCCCAGCCAAGCCCGGGCTGCCCAGCTGCCCCAGCCTCTCACTGCCTTGGAGTCCAGCCCAGTGGAGCTTTCAGCTGACTTCAGCCCTGGCCAGCCTCTGGCTGCAGCCACACGGCAGACCCCAAGTGAGAACCCAGCGGAGCCCAGTTAACCCACAGGACCAGGAGTGATCGTGACAGGTCGCTGTTCTGAGCCACTAAGTCTGAGCTGATTTGCTGCATCAGAAACGATGACTGGAGCAATGCCAGATGAGAGGAACCCAGAATGCATCCAACAGCCCAGCCTCTCCGAGGGGTTATGTGAAAGCAACATTCAGAGACCTGTTTCAGTTGTGGCTACTTAACAAGTGTTTGCTTTACCCCGTAGTCACGTGAAAGCAAGCCTGTAGATTTCCCTCGCAGTCATACATCAAACCCATATACAGAACGTGGTCTCACGAAGCCAGAAACAATGATGCCAAAAAAAGAACATACAAGGAATAATGCCAGGGACTTCCCTGGTGGCGCAGTGGTTAAGATTCCACCTGCCAATGCAGGGGACACGGGTTCGAGCCCTGGTCAGGCAAGATCCCACATGCCGCGGAGCAACTAAGCCCGTGAGCCACAACTACTGAGCCTGCGCTCTAGGGCCCGCGAGTCACAACTACTGAAGCCTGCGCGCCACAACTACTGAAGCCAGCATGCCTGGAGCCCGTGCTCCACAACAAGAGAAGCCACCGCAATGAGAAGCCCACGCACCGCAATGAAGAGTAGCCCCTGCTTGCTGCAACTAGAGAAAAGCCCACGCGCAGCAACAAAAACCCAATGCAGCCAAAAATAAAATAAATAAATAGATAGATAGATAAATAAATAAATAAAAAAGAAAGAAAGAATGCCAGCAGTTTACTTGCTCCGTGCCAGACCCTGTGCTCACTTAATACTTTTTTTGGATTATCTCATTTGGTCTTCCCAGCACCTAGTAAGGTAGGAAATACTGTGATGTCCATTTTATAGATGAGGAGGTTGAAGCCCAGAGAGGTTAAGTAACTTGCCCAAAGCCACAGAGATAACAAGCAGCAGATAGCACATTAAAAACCCATCTGCTCACACTTTTTTTTTTTTTTTTTTTTGCGGTACGCGGGGCTCTCACTGTTGTGGCCTCTCCCGTTGCGGAGCACAGACTCTGGACACGCAGGCTCAGCGGCCATGGCTCACAGGCCCAGCCGCTCCGCGGCGTGTGGGATCCTCCCGGACCGGGGCACAGACCTGCATCCCCTGCATCGGCAGGCGGACTCTCAACCACTGCGCCACCAGGGAAGCCCCATCTGCTCACACTTTTAACACTAAGTTCTGATTCCATCTGACTGTACCAGATGAGGCCATCTATTCTAAATACGCCTTCTTAAACTGTCTGTGGGGAAGGATCATTCTTGCCCTAAATTGTCGCAATCTGAATACTTTCACATTTCCATTCCTGACCGTCTCGGCAATGTCCCCATGCTGGAAAAGCTTCTTAGGGCTCACCAAGTTCTGTCCATAGCTCATCAATGAGCAGTATGCAGGCGGGCACTGCCTGGGGACCACACTTTGAGCAGAATCTGCTAAATGATCTTCCTAAACCTGTCCATTGAGGAGCCAGTGCTTCAAACTGTGATGCTCCAGCCTGACGATCTAAAAGCTGTTTCCAGGATTTCAACATTTGTATTAGAAATCACAAAATTACACTTACTAGCAGTTATCCTGCTTCCCCCGCAGCTGAGCGCCGTGCAATACAGCTCTGACACCAACCACTGCAGCTAGCGGGCACCCCACGGGGAGAGGACTCAGTCCCAAGAGACTGCCCCCCCCACTTCCGACACCAGCCTGAAGCAGGGTCCCCAGGCCATCTGCGCTTCTTGCAACAGGGAAGAGTCAAATCTGACTCCATGTTGGCTCTGTTTCTTTTACTTTCACCTTCGCTTTCTGCTGCCTTTGTTCACTGAAAGGAGACTGTACACAGTGGCCTGCCTTGGGGAACCCCGCCCCTCTGCCTGAAGGTTAAACCAAAGTGCCTTTGTTCAGGGAAGCATCCGGACCCTGTCCACCTGCGGATGGCGGCAAGGAACAAGAAATGAACACAAATTAACACAGCCTCCCCGAGGCTGGCCATTCCAGGGGATATTTGCAAGTCTTATGGCCTTTTTACTTTACTCCCTCATCTCCTCCCCCTCTCTGTGCTATTGAAGAAACTGGCATCCAAACCCCGATAAGATTGTTATTTTGAGACACTAGTCTGCTATCTTCTCGCTCTGCCCCGTTTTCTGAATAAAGTCGTATTCCTTGCCTCAGCACCTCGTCTCCCTTTCGTGGGCCTGTCATGCGATAAGCAGAGTGAGCTCGGACTTGGTAACATTCTGACTGTGTGGCTACCAATTTGGGGGCTTCCCCATGACACCCTCAGGTTTGAAAACTTGCTAAAGAGACTCGCAGAACTCAGGAAAGCGCTAAACCAATAATCACAGTCTTTTGGGAAGGGATACACAGAGTCCAAGGCCTGGGTGGGGGTCATCCCAAGGGCAGAGATTCCATGTCCTCTACCCTTGGTGTTAAGGAGTGTCACCCTCTTGGGACATGAATGTGTTCACCAACCACAAAGCTCTCCTGAGCAGTGGACCCCCGAGTTATGCTGGGGTTTCATTAGGTGCACATCACTGAGCCAATCGTTGGCCATGTGACTGAATTCACACTCCAGTCCCCCTCCCATCCCCAGAGGTCAGGCTGGCCCAAAGCCCCTCATCACAGGGTTTGTCTTTCCGGTGATCGGCCCCCATCCTGGGGGTCACCAAGAGTCACCTCATTAGCATAACAAAGACACTCTTGTAAGTCAGGAAATTCAAGGGTTTTAGAAGCTCCATTCCTAGAACTGGGACAAAGACCAAATCATTACACCACAGCAAGGCTGTAGTAGCTAATTTAAAAGGCAGTCTTTTCTGGCTGGAATCCTTCTTACCCGGCTGCCTGCACTGAGAACAGCTCTGAGGCTCATCCTGGTGGATCACTAAAGAATAGGAAACAGAGAGACTATTTTTAAAATCTCAAAGTGAGGCGTGTACCCAGGGCTGCGGTGGGGGAAGCCTTGACCTGCCAGGAGGAGCTGGGGGCCAGCGCACCCTAGGCCAGCCGACCCCCAGCTGCCTCCATTCAGTGGGGTCAGGAGGCCACGGGAACTGGGCTGGGAAGGGACCTGCCACATCTCAGGGCAGGACTCAGAGCATCACACACAGAGCCTGCTTTATACGGAAACGCCTGGCTCCCAGCCGAAGGCTCGAGAAGCTGTTTCCTTCGTGGGGGGATGAGAGACATGAAAGGGAGCGAAGTAATGAGAGGAGGTACGGGGACTCAGAGGGAGGAAAGGAAAAGCCCTGCAGGACGGATGGGGCTGTGAGGGGCCAGGACTCGGGGGGAGACGGGGTCCCCTCCACCTGGTGCCCTGAGAGATGGAAAGGGCAGGGTCTGTGAGGCCTTGAACGCTGAGGAAAGAACAGCATACCAAGGCACAGGATGCCTTCTCGTCAGGTGAGACCTGCCTGATGCTCCGTAATAACAGGAAGGCGTGCGCTCGCAGCCCCCGCTCCGGGTGAGGCGTCAACTGCTAATAATCCACAGCCTTCCCTGCACCCTCTGTCACTGCAAACCTCTCCTGTCAATTAAGGGAACATCCTCCGAAATGATGAAATCTCAAGGCAGCGCAAATCCTCTGCTGGCAAAATGCTGTAGGAATCATGACATGTATCATGGCCCCAGTCACCAGCATTTTTGCAAAAATCCAGGACACAGAGAGGTGGAGGATGCCGTCAAAGTCCACGCCGTGGACCAGTCTTTTCCTTAAAATAACCGAACAGCCTAATAGGAAGACACGTTGGATAAACAACAGAAAAGACACACCTCTCCCCACTAGCTTAGTGCATCTGAAATACTGTAATGATACAGCTCAAACAGGTAGCATCTGTTACACTTGCCACTCCATCCCGTCATCCGCAGGGGGACACACAAATAGAGGCCCCCAGGCGACGATGAAAATGGGCCCCCGATCACGGGTTCACGCAGCCTCGTCGGGGATGAAGACAGTGACTGAGGCTTCCGAGGTCCTGCCAGGTTCCCGGGAAGAGGACTGGCAAGGTTAGATGCATCGTCTGTGCCGTGTGGCTTTCTCTTCTCTCCCATAGCAATTCCAACATTACCACCCGGCCGTGCTAGGGCATAGATTTCAAGTGGATGGTCTCTGCCTATTTGAACCAATTTTCTCTGATCCCACCTTTCTCCCACTTTCTGTCGCCTTTCTAGCCAAGCCTCTAGGAAGCCTGTACGATAACACAGAGACAATGATTAGAGACAAAACAAAAAAGTGACCCACTGTGAGAAATCATTTTGATGGTTCTACCTGCTCCGGAATTCCGCTGCCCAAATCTTAGCTACTAACTCTCAAAGAAATGCGTCCCCCTGCTGCGTGGATGTTAGAGGAGCATGAGAGTACTTAAGTGTTTCTTCAAGTCATTCGGAAAGAAATCACATTCCCCAAAAGTCACAATTTATGACAAGCTGTCCAGTGAAATTATGAACTGTGAGCACCACCACAGACAGACATTACGTACGATGCAGCTGTGGATTAATACCTTCTTATGTCGTCAAAGGTTAGGAGAAGTTACTTCTGGGCTGCCCCGTTTGAATGACGTCCTTCCTACACCCTGAGGTTGACAAGCTTGGTCACTGGTTTTCTTGAATGTAGAGTTGTTTTTTTTAACACACATTGATTGATGCGTCTGCTACAACTGCCGTCTGGCCAGCTTTTCTCTTGGTTGGAGAAACACTCGTGCCTTTTTTTGTGTATAGAAGTTGTCTCCGTTAAATCTAAGTATTTGTTTTAACTCTGAAATAATAATAAAGATTTAGTGTGTGAGCTATAGTGAGGCACTCATGGATCTTAATGGCCTTCAGGAGTCATTTTCTTTCAAGAATCACTTTTCTAAAATTAGCTCTCATCACATGTCCAAGAACACACTCGGCCTGCAGAGCACGGGGGAGGGTGCCGTCCCAGCCTCTTTACCGCCTCAGGGGGGTCCTTTCACAAAGGGCCCAGTTTCTTTTCTTTTTTCATTTTCTATAAACGCAAGGAGTCCTCAAGGCCACTAAGGGTCCACTCCCTAGTGCATTCCCTCTCCATCCCAGCCCATTCTTAAGCTAATGTCTACAAGAACAGAAAGAAAAGTCTGCAGGGTGGAGCAGAGCTCAGTGGTGGTGGGAGGGTAGCCCCTTCTCTGCACCTCCCGCCTCGGCAGGACTGCAACTCATCCTCGGGGAGGAAAGGGCAGCCACAATGCTGGTAGTTTCTGGCCAGTCTCCTCGTGACCCCAGGCCCCAGCAAGAACGGAGCAGTCCCGGATGGGGGGAAGGGTGCCGCGAGGGCTGGACCACTTGAGGGAGGTCGCTTGGCAAAGGTATAAGGTACAAAAAGTAGTGCCAGGCTTTCCCTTAGTTCAAGATTTGGATGCTGGGGCAATGTCCGTGCAGATAAGTGCGAGCTGCTTGAAGCCGTGTGAGCGGCTCCCAGCAAGAGTAACTGGCGTTGTGCACTCGGGTCAGGTCGGACTGCGTTGGTATCATGAACGGTAGCTGTCAGGGTGGTGGACCTGCCGTCACCAGGTGCCCCCACGGGCCAGACACTGCACCCAGGGCCATCTACACCGTCTCATTTTAATTCTTCATTTTTAGTTTAATCATTATAACAAACTCCTTTACACACATTATTATTCTCATTCGGCCGAGTGGTTCCTTCCCTGTACATCGTTCCAAAACCCTGTCTTTTTGCAGTATATCTTGAAGCCAGGGAAGGTGCACCACGCTTAAAATTTTAATGCGATTTTTTCCCTGCTGCCACAAAGTACCACGTGCTGCATTTCAGCCTAGCTCCGCGCGTCGGTAATAAAATCCCGTTTTCCCTAACATCCCTCTTTACGTTCAGTGGATACACGATCCTCCCAGGTGGGCTTCAGAACCACACAGCTCCGTGCTGGCGGTCACTGCAGAGAGCTTCGCCTGGCACATCAACCACGCGGCTTTTGCCCAGTCAGAAGGGGAGGCCGGCTGCCTGGCATTGCCAGAGAGGCTCCAGGTGTGAAGGCTCGTGATCGCAGGGGATTTGCTCTCTTGGTAGGAAGACAAATGGTGACTCTGACTGCCTCCTCTGTCCCAAGGTGGGTGAGTGTACAGAGGAGCGACCAGGACTGAAGTCATCCTGGGCTGCGTCAAAGAGGAGGGGACCAGAGGCGGGCACTGAGGGACAGCGCGCTGTGGGAGGGGGTAGCCACCTCCAGCCAGGGCAGTGCCTGAGCCAGGGCTGCCTGGTGAGCAGACGGGTGACCAGCAGCGACGGGATCTCCAGCCGGACAAGGATGCCCTCTCGTTGAGGCCCTGGGGCCGTCTTTCTGGGTCAATTGGTCAGCAGTCCAAGGTCTGTCCTTGGGTGGCAGGGCAGATGGGAAAGGGTTTAGAAGGCAAAGGCTCACACAGGCGAGCGGCTCTGGGCAGCTTTTAGCTTCCGGGGCTTTCCGTAGGGAGGCGGCAGGGGTTAGCAGGGCAGGGGGAGGCGTTCCTGATGCCTGTCTCTGGCTGTGCAGAGGTGCGCAAGCTGCCCGACAGCTGGGGTCTCTGGCTGCCTCAATCACAGCCGTCTGTTGCAGACACTGGTCTGTTTGTTTTGCAATCATTATCGTTGGAATATTTACGCTTTGTGCCAATCACGTGCCCAAAAGGCTCACGGCTGCAGCAGTAAACTAGCTTCACACTCACGCTGAAGAGTCAGGATGGGAGACTGCACACCTGCCACTGAGATGTAAAATTTCCCCCCGATCCCTCAAATGTGAGTGGGCTTCGCAGTGGGGGTGCAGGTGTCCGGCAGGCGGTTCTTACAAGGAGGCCTCTGTACCAGCAGAAGCCCCCTTCCTTAGGAAGAGCGGGCCTCCCCTTCTCGCCCGAGAGGCGTCCAGAGCATCACCGTGGGCCGGCAGGGAGTGCGACGCAGTGGGGAGGGGTGCTGGCACCACCCAGGAGGCAGCTCAGGGCCACCGTCCCCGGCCACACTCTGCGCGTTGGACAGTGAGACGGATGCCTCTACAGCGTGTGGCTGACCACAAGGCCCCGGGATGGGACAGGCTGTTCACATCCTCCTTGTCACCTTGGACAATCCTTTAAGCCTCAGTTTCTGCATTCAGCGGGTGTCATACGCAGCCTGGTCCTCATTGGTCTACGAGACTTAGCACAGCGACTGGCTCACAGTGAGAGCTCAGGAAATAGTATTTTTCGGTCCAGGTTTTGGATCTCTGTAAAAGTAATCCAAGCCTGGATTTCACTGTGTGACTATTGGTCCCATGTATATTACCCTCGAGGGTTCACTGGTGGGCATCCCTTAAATGACCCCAAATGGATGTGCCCTGGTTTAGATAAACACCTGGCCCCGATCAAGCGGATAAGCACTAAGTGAGCCCCCCAGTGAACCCCCTGCCTGACGTTTCGGTCGTAAAAAGTAGGCCCATCATGGACTGAATACCTGATGAGCATATCTTCTAATGGCTTCGTCCTGCTCAGAAGCTTCTTCTAATTTATGCAGCTGTAATTCAACAAATATTTATTAAACCTAATGTCAGATTGAATAGATATCACCTGATTCTTTGCCCTTGAGGAAATAAAGTACATTCTTGGGGGAGCATTAGACTTAAATTCTTGAGCAGCAGACCAAGGAACGAAAAGTATACTGAAGATTCAAAATCCAAAATCTCTCTGCAGTCTGGAATTGGGGCATCTCACAAGAGCCCAGAGACGAGAGGCTGCTTCGGAGACCCCCTCTCGGGAGACTTCAAACACCCCACGTGGCACTTGAATCCCGTCAGAAGGAAAGTGTCTTATGTGGGCAAAAGCCGCCTCTTAAAAAACCAAGCTCACTGCTCTAGCTTCATCTCCAAAGACCAGTGCAGATAAATCTCAGAGAAATGTTGACGGGAAAACAGGAGCTGCAAAAACAAACACAGCACATCCTACTGTTTATGTAAAATCTGACAACCCGATACAAGCTACAGCTAGAAGCTCCTCTGGGGAGGGAGGGAAATAGCTTGGGTGACAGGAGGGGCAGATCCTGAGTTATCACTCAAATATGTTCTGTCTCATCAAGACAAGATCTGGAGGAAAATGGCAAAATATTCACATCTATTCAAGCTGGGTACCAGAAACTCTCTTACTAGCTTCTCTATTTTACGCAGGCTTGAAGTCCTTACGATTTTAAACATAACAAAAGTTGTCAACATAAAACTTGTCCTGAAAGTTGTAAAAACAAGAAAGAGAACTCATTAATTGTGTTTACATTTATGTCTGTATTTCCTAATCCCTTTAGGTCATGATTCCTGCTAATACATCAGCACAAAATAGAAATCGAACATTGTACGCCGGATGCCAGCTTGGGTTAAAACTTTCATGTGACAGTGTTATCAGTCTGGAAAAGAAAAACTTAAAAGCTAAAGTGATTTACGAAGGCATAAAAGAGCTCGGAGCTCACAGTGGGCTGGGAGAAACACATTAATTTTTGTGTTTTAAAACACCTATACACACATATCACGGAGTCAAATAGAAAACCAACCCGAAGATTTAATATAAAACATGAGACTTCAAAGACAGTTCTCAGTGTGGAGCTTTCAACTCCGCCCTGTGAGCTTCAAAGCCAAGTTCTCCATCCGCAGAGCCCCCTGTTCAAAGGTGTGAGGGGCTAGGGTGGACTCAGTGGACATCAGGACAGCCTAGACATGGTTCAGATGTTTTCTCTCTAGCTTGCTTCTCCAGTTTTCATTTTCAAGACCAGTAAAAAGTTTCCAGGTTATGAAATCATTTCTGAAGTTTCTAACTCTGAGGACTGGCCACTCGTTACAACATCCCCTAATTGTCACCCACCCCGGGTCACGGCCAGTCACCGGGTCACTGTGCCCATGTCAAGAGCCAGACAATTGTTTTTGTATCTGGTGCGTGTGTGCCCACGAGCAAAGCGCTGATCTTCCATTACTTCCTTCATTCGTAAATTCCACAGATATCTGGACACCTGCTACGTGCTGGATTCCAGGTATACGATGCTGAGCAAATCAAAGAATAAACCCCCCCTCACTGAGCCTAAAGTGATTTGGGAAAGAGAGACACCAAGTACATAAGTAAGTCTGGCAGGACACCGTGCATCCTAACTGATGGTTTCCACTTTCCCTTTTGCCCCTGACTTTCCTCCCTTCACAGGGACAAACAGAAGACTTCCCATGCCCAAGGATGACTGTCACAGAGGAACCAGGAGCCCAGTACGTAAATTCTTGGAGTTTAAGTTCAAAAGCTGTATTTCAAGGGGTGGGGAAGGGGAGGACAAAAATTTGGAAGGATACTTGCTGAACCGGTTTTCTCCTGCCCAAGGGGAGATAAAAACTCTCTCTGGGCTGATGGAAAAGGAATTGAAACAGAAGAGTGAGACACATGTGCTATGTGTCTGTTTATTGAAGTCTAGTTGATTTCACTATTGTGTTAGTTTCAGGTTACTGCACAGTGATCCATATATATCTCTATTGCTATATGAATTGAGTGGAGTTCCCTGTGCTATACAGTAGGTCCCTGTTGTTTATCTATTTTATATGTAGTAGTGTGTATCTGTTAATCCCAAACTCCTAATTTATCCCTCCCCACCTTCCCGCTTTGGTAACCGTAAGTTTGTTTTCTATGTCTGCAGGTCTATTTCTGTTTTGTAAATAAGTTCATTCGTATCAGTTTTTTAGATTCCACACATAAGCAATATCCTGTGATATTTGTCTTTCTCTGTCTGGCTTACTTCACTCAGTATGACAATCTCTAGGTCCATCCATGTTGCTATAAATGGCATTATTTCATTCTTTTTTATGGCTGAGTAAGATTCCATTGTATATATGTACCACATCTTTATCCATTCATCTGTTGATGGACATTTAGGTTACTTCCATGTCTTGGCTATTGTGAATACTGCTGCTATGAACATTGGGGGGTGCATGTATCTTTTCGAATTAGAGTTTCATCTTTTCCGGATATATGCCCAGGAGTGAGACTGCTGGATCACACGGTAGTTTTATTTGTAGTGTTTTCAGGAACCTCCCTACTGCTCTCCATAGCGGCTGCACCAACTTACATTCCTACCAACAGTGTTAGGAGGGTTCCCTTTTCTCCACACCCTCTCCAGCATTCAACGTTTGCAAATGTTTTGATGATGGCCATTCTGACCGATGTGGGGTGATACCTCATTGTAGTTTTGAGTTGAAATTCTCTATTAATTAGCGACGTTGAGCATCTTTTCATGTGCCTGTTGGCCATCTGGATGTCTTCTTTGGAGACAGAGTGGAACTTTTTAATGGAGATTTCATGTAGCTGGTTGCTTGCTCTCAACCCTCTTTGCTTCTTCCCCCTGTAAGACACGTGCGGTCTTGACCTCCACGAGGTACACGGCGTGCGTGTCCTGCTTGTCTCTCTGACCTCACTTCCCACACTTGGCCCCATGCTCCCAGGGGGCCCTGAGCACCAGGAGGCAGACCTGTCTTTTCTAAATGCTTAACCACTCGGGGAACGTAAAGAATGAAGGACTGGGAGACCAGGGCTTCAGGGCACGGCTCAGATGGGGGGCCTGGGGAGGTCCTGTGCAGGCAGTGAGGTGTTAGCCCAGGATAAACTGACGATGGGGAGTCAGGTACCCAGCCGCCAGGTGCATCACACACCGAACAAGAGCTGTGGAGGCAGGGCAGGGAGGAGTTAGCACGCTGAGGACTGAAATCTGGGTAGCCTCTGGGTAGATCACAGACCTCCCATAAAGTTCAAACCACCTGTTCCTTAATCTACACACACACCGGCCTCTGTGAAATATGCTAACAAGAACTTGTGAGAAACGCTGTAATTTTAGTGTCTTCATCACATCTAATGACAGCAGTAAAGTGCAGTGGGTTTCAACCTCCGCGTCCGAGCTCAGGAAAAACCTTCCCTCGCAGATACTTTCAGCTAAAACCGAACGACACACAACTGAGATTTGGGAACACAGACGTACGACTTCTGGAAGTTTACTTTGTGACATACGGAACCAGGAAGGAGAGAAAAGTGAACGTAATAATATATCTACACGCCCCAGCCTTGACTGATGCCTCAAAAGTTTTGCAGGGCTTCAGCGGGACGGGGTGGTGGCACTGAGGGTGCACCCACGCCGAACGCCGGAACCCAGACCCGCCCCGGGGAGAGGCCTGCCCAGCTCAGGAAAGGTCAGGTGCAGAAGTTCAAGGAAGACCAGAAGGGTGAGACCGCAGCTGTGGCAAGTCATCAGAATCTGAACCGAAAGCCAGCTAGGATGACAGGGGAACAGTCCAGCAAAGGAGAGGAAGGATGCTGTCTGAAAACTGCGAGTTTCTGAGGTGATGGATGGGGTCACATCATCTGAATCCTGGTTCAATGTCTGTGCCAAACAAGTCATCTGGGAATCGCCCAGCCCAGCCCAGCCCAGCCCAGCCCCTCCCTCCTGCTACTGTAATTTCTCTCTGGCCTGGAAAAGCTTTCTTCTAGCTTTCTTCTAATTCTTATTTAAGTCGTGGCATATAAGCTTCCCATCCACTCCTGATGGGAATTCACACACACACACACACACACACACACACACACACACACACAGCGTACGAGCAATTATTATATGTCCAGGCACTGTGCTAGACGGTGGGGATTAAAAGGACAATACGACACAGTCTTATCCTCCGTGATTCTATAATTTAGAGAGAATAACCGCTAACACTGTCTTCATGGTGCCTGTGTCAGCCAAGAGTATTTCATTATTAAGTGGAAATGATGTTCATTTCTTCTTCTTTCTTACTCTTTGTAAATACACAAATACTATTATAATTAGGGTCTCTGTATCTACTCTCCATACTAAGTGAAAGTTCTGTAGCAGAGAAAAAAAAAATCACTGCTCCAACGTTTATTCACTCATCAAACGTCTCTTGTAAGAAGCACTCTGACCTAAGATTATTAGCAGTCATACCATATTAGTACATGCAGCTTAACCAAGACGCCAGCACCACGGCACCACGGTGATCAAACAGCTCCAATCTTTCCTTTGCCTCTCCCGCCAGTATGCATTTGTTCATTTTATTTCTGTTCTTGGCAAGATTTAAATAAAGGCTTTTTTCTTTGTTCTACAAATGTTTGCAGCAGCTATGTTACAATGACTTAACACAGCATTAACTCCAGTATAAATATATACTCCCAGATTGCTTTTTGAAAAAGGAAAATGTTTACAATCTTTATCACAGAAACACTGAATTCATCGGCCTAAAATTTATTTAAAATGTCAGATGAGTTTGATAAAAATCTGTATCTGGAATTCATTTCTGAACAGTGTACAGTTATTACCTTGAATTCAAAGGAAAAGAATACACTATGTTCTGGTTTTCTCAGAACGTCAAGTTCAAGTTCAGCCATGTATGGCTCCTGTGGGTCTACTCTGCACGACACGCTAAAAAAGCACTTCTCACTTGGTTGCCCTTCTCATTTTAGTATACATTTTTAGTCCCACTTCTACAGTAAAACAAAGTATCAGTTCTAAGTGAAGACAACTGAGAAGCGTGGACCGAGATGAATGCAATTTTATTATCTTTTACATTTAGTGCCTTTACGCGGGTACTAAACAGGTGTGTCACATAAGAAGAACGAGTTTCTAGAGGGATGCAGAGCAGGGCAGGAGAGAAAAGTGACTCAACACTTGAGAAAATACATCATTGAACTACTTTAAATCTAATTAATTTGATGAATGAAATATATTTCTATTTTACCCACCCCCAAATAGAGGAACACAATGATAGATAGATGAGTTCATTGTTCACAATGTAAATGTGTTGTTTGTCTTGGAAAAGCCACAGAACATGAAATGCGTGCTGATAATTTTTTTCCCTCCATCCGGGAGACTTGGGAGCTTTCACAAAAGCTGGGGGAGACCTTACAGAAACTCGCACTTCCTCTCTTTTGCATTGAGGTACCCACGGTCTGGGGACGCGCAGCGCGTCATCTGTGGCTACAGAGCTGGCTGGTGGTGGGCAGAATGAAAACACAGGTCCCCGGGCTCAAGCTCACACCCTCATTCTGTCTTGTTCTCTGTCATTAAGAGATGGAAATAGCTGGAAATACCTAAAACCCACAGAAATCTCTTCTACTAGCATTACACTCCTTGTCATCTAACGATACTAAATAGATCGGATCATGGATTTTACTTCCACAATTTTATAAAGTTCAGTAGCTGAACAGAATGCTGCGGGAGTTGAATAGGAGGAACATTGAGAATCGAATTACTAGGCTCTAAAGTCTGTAGAATCATCCCAGTGGAGCTCAAGACATCTTGGGGAGCCCAGGTGGTCCCCCGTTCAAGGCACGGTGGTTCTGAGGTTGGCCTCGGAGCAGACTGCCACGAGGTGGCATCCAGAGCACACAGGCAGGGCTCCTGGGGCCTGTGTCCCTGAGGAAAACACACTGGCAAATGGGGAGAAGTGTGGGTCCCCCAGGTGCTATGGCAGGACCTGCGCTCCTTAATTAACCTCTGCTGTCTCTGCTCTCTCAACTGTAAGATAAGGAGCAACGACGGCCCTGAACATCTCACAAGGTGATCGTGGGGACAGATGGAGGCTGGGTGTCAGAGGGCTGGGAAGCTGGGAAGAGCCTTATTATTACTGTGTGTGTCCTCTCTTCCTGGTGGTGAAGACACTGAAGTAGAACGATACTTCTGTGTGTGCTGCTGCAC